GGACGAGAAGCTCAATATGAGCCGGCAATGAAGTAATGCTTAGAGGTTAAATTTTGGACGGATATTCAGTGCTGAACTGTACCACGGAATTAAGTTGATCCACTCACCCTGAATTCTATGATCAGGCGTCCTTTTTCATACGGTCTGCGATAAATTGGCATACCTTCATTCAACACACACTTAATAGCCCCATGCTTCACAACCTGGCCTAGGGAAAAAAAAAAAAAAACCACAACCAAAAAAGGATGAGATCCATGCAGGCAAGAGAAGCAGCTTTAGTTTTAACTCCCTTCAATATCTATGCAACCTTCTACATTGTGGTTAGACAGCTATACCACTGTGTAAGAGTCTAATAGGGACGTACTGTCTGGTAACTTCTGAATAGGAAAGCAGGTTGATGTCTACATGACATTCTTGAAACCTTGATTATGCTTCCCAGAGGAAGCATACTTAGGGATGTTTCTGTTCTTTTAAACTTCCAGCTTACACTCACTGTAGGCTTGGAATTTTAACAGGAAGCAATCCAACACTTACCAGGATGGGAGGTAATAATAATAGTTCTATTATCCAGCGTTGTGATAGGCTTTTGAAAGCCACATAGAGCTTCAACCAGTTGAATATCCATAGACATAAGAAGGTCTTCATCTCGTCTAAGGTAGAATCAAACATTTAGAGAGAGAAGAAATAAAAGGACTATATTCAACTCCAGTTTTTAACTTGGCAAGGACAACAAAGCTGTCATTCTGGTAGAAGCCCGGGCCATTAAATAAAGAATATTGAATATTGATGCAGCACCTCAAGCCAGCAATTATAGGAATGATACCCACGCTGACAGCCACTACTAGTCAAGTCTAGGTATCCAAAGTGTAGCAGAGTTTATTGAAAATAAATAAAATAATAAAAAAATTTTGACACAGTCTCCCACAGCATCCTCACAGCTAAACTGAGGAAATGTGGTCTGGATGATCGGATAGTGAGGTGGATTGTGAACTGGCTGAAGGACAGAAGCCAGAGAGTAGTGGTCAATGGGACAGAGTCCAGTTGGAGGCCTGTATCCAGTGGAGTCCCTCAACAGTTGGTACTGGGACCTGTATTGTTCAACATATTCATCGATGATTTGGATGAGGGAATACAGTGCATGGTCAGCAAGTTTGCTGATGACACTAAACTTGGAGGAGTGGCTGACACACCTGAAGGCTTTGCTGCCATTCAATTCAGAGAGACCTGGACAGGCTGGAGAGTTGGGCGGGGAGAAATTTAATGAAATACAACAAGGGCAAGTGTAGAGTCTTGCATTTGGGTAAGAACAACCCCATGTACCAGTATGAGTTGGGGACAGAACTGTTGGGGAACAGCACAGGGGAAAGGGACCTGGGGGTCCTGGTGGACAGCACGATGATCA